GTGAAAGAGAGAGAGCCAAACGTKTCATTGGGTATTAATTTTGACTCAAGAATTAAATGTAATAAGGTTCTCTGATAGCAAAACACAAATGGAAATGTAACTGGATAACACGGGAAGAAAATAAATTWAAAGGGATTAAACATTAAATCACGAATATGTAGTCTATATGAAAGAGCTTCGGTATAGTTTGTTGTTCACGATAGCAGATTATTTTTATTATTTTTTTTTTTTTTCATTTTAATCACATTTCACAAAGCTTTTTTTTATTTTCATCACCACCTTTTTTTTAGGAAGCAAACGCATGCGAAGGTTTTCGGATCCTGACTAGTGCCAAACATACACTGACAAAATAACCCGCTGCTATCGTAATAAATTCACATATCAACAGCACCAATAAAGCACATGTAAATAGCAAAATCCGAAAAAAAAAAATTTAGTTGGAAAAGTGTACATCAGAATACCCAATCCTTGATAGCTACGCACAAAAATGTACGCAACGCGCGCATTAAACCGAGGCCAGGGACAGAGACAAAAATGAGCAAATCGGTTGAAATCTGTTTTTCCAAAGTTTAATGCGAGAATTTAATCAAAAATATAACGATACAGCAACGGTAGCTTCTTTTTACAATTAATTTTGTGAATAAAGCAGTGAATAAAGTACTTTTCAACCAGTTTGTTGATGTTAGATCCCAATCTTCGAGACTAGGACTATCTTTAAGGCTAATAAAAAGCTCATTGTTTAACCCTGCTGATCACCAAGTGATTCCGTCTGACGTCTGATTTTGCGCTTGGCGCACTTAAAGGGACACTGTCAATGGATGACATGCGCGAGTAAACTTGAAAACACTAGGCTGTGTTTTCAAGTTTATGACTCCAAGTTGGCGCGACATAAATCAGATCGTAAACGTAAACAGATCTAGAATATTCCAAAGTGTGTCAAAAGCACCACAAAATGATTTACCTCGAAGGTTATACTCCGTTAGAGGTGAGACTGTTACTGCGCATGTCATCCATTGACAGTGTAATACTTTCAAAGTCTGTTAGAGGTGAGACTGTTACTGCGCATGTCATCCATTGACAGTGTCCCTTTAATCAAGACACAATTTGGTTCACTATATCGAAGAATTAAAAAACGTCTCAACCTTCCACATGGCCAAGAAAACTCTCTTGCTGCTGACCCTGGTTCTGATGAACAACATAATGTTGTTTGCACAAAGTCAAAATTTGCCTTTGGTCAAGGGATCATATCGTAAGTATTGACTTTTACCAGTTAACACTTTTTTTCACTTGCAAAAATTCTGTCAAAGATAAATCGAACATTTGCATTTAAGTGAAAAGGAATACATTAAAAAAACACAAAAAAAGTTAGTAGTTAAATGATTGTTTTTGTTTTACAAATGTTTTTTTTACGGTGAATGTTAGTGTCCTCGGGCGATAAGTTTCAAGAGTTGAAGACAAAGCTTTTATAATTCTTGTTCAAACTTGAAAACGTCTTTTTCCTCTCCTTGCATTGTGTAACCCTGTTGATCACCAAGTGATTCCGTCTGACGACTGATTTTCAGCTTGACACTCACTAAATCAAGACACACTTTCGTTCACTACATCGAAGCCTTAAAAACCGCTGAAGTTCCCGAATGGCCAAGAAAACTCTGTTGCTGCTGGTCCTGGTTCTGATGAACAACGTAAAGTTGTTTGCGCAGAGTAAAACTTTGCCTTTGGTGAAGAAATCGGTTCGACGCCGCCATGTAACATATCGTAAGTATTGACGTTTATCAGTTAACATTGAAACTCAGTGAGTTATATTTTGTAACTAACTCATGCTCAAAATCATACACCTACATGGATATATTAAATGAAGATCGAGTTCCTCATATTGACAAATAATTATTAAAAATATTAACTCATCGAAGCAGCTGGGAAGGTTAATTTTTCGTTAAGTAGACTTTTTTACTGTTTTTGGAATGATTTTAAATCATGAAGAAGCCGTCAGTGTACTACAAAAACAAATATGAAATTGTGATAATGTGTGATCCACTAAAATGTATTTTATTGGTTTATAAAAATCACTGTTATACTGTTACTACTGTT